CCGTTTTAAGTTTCGTATGAAACCCTTTTTGGTTTCGTACTTCGACTACGAAACCCTTATGTTCGCCAAAAACCATAAAAGGTTTCGTAGTCGAAGTACGAAATCAAAAAGGGTTTCATACGAAACTTAAAACGGTTTAGAAATGGTTGCACTCCTCTATACCCTTTTAAGTTTCGTAATAAACCTTTTTTTTTTAGAGAGTAGCCAATGTCTCGCTTTATGCAGCTTTTTGATTGCTGTGAATCTTCTATGATGTTCTTATTCTTGTTTTGCAAAGACAAAGACTTGAGCGATGGGCTGGAGGATCGTATATTTTATTATCTTCAGTCCTGTAGTGGCAAAACAGCTGATATTTACCTGCTGATGTTGAAACAAGTGCTGTTAATACGAAAATACCCATGAGAATGAAATAGCGCCTTACATTGTCGTATAAATTTGTAATCCAATAAACAATGGTTCCTGTAATGAACGCTGTCAGCGCATAAACAGGCAATTCAACGAGAAATCGTGAAATATAATATGGAAATATTTGATAAATATTATCATCATGTTCTTTAAAAAGTACAGGATATTCTCTTGCATAACTCTAAATAGATGAAAAGTAGACGTAGAACTATATCGTCTATTCTGTTTCTTGGTTTACATCGGCAACAGCTTTCACACAGTTGAATGATATATTTATTAGCAATACGAAAATGACAGAAGACATATTTTGAGGTGCTTGCTGATTGTATTTCAAACGGATGAAGAGTAAACCTAGCATAATACCGACTACCTTTAAACAAAATAGAGAAATGATAATTTCAATCTGATGTAAAGCAAACTGCATCTACTTACCACAGACAATATAAGCTGTAATCGAGCTTCAAATGGGTTTTTACTAATATTTTTAAAACTACGCCATAATAACCATCTTAACTGCGTAAAAAAGCCAGTTTTGTATCTAAATATCGATTATAAAATGATAATATGCGTCACTAATGATGAAAAGAACTGGGCAATATAATTTACTTTGATGAACGCCTAAATAATCCAAATGTTGCTTGATCATCTTGAATAACGTGAAACTGTTGTGCTTCAGCCACTTGTTGAGAATACATTGGAGAATATTCGTATTCGTCGCAAATAAACTGAATTAGACAGATTCGACAATATGCGTTCGTTCAATCTGGTACGCTTCCTTGTCAGAAATCTACACTCTCAATAAACCTATAGCCCAAGATGGAAAATGTTTTTTGCATTCGCTACACGGCTTTTTCCGTCTGATCTTTTGTTTAAAAACCGTTTTGATGTAGAATAGCACGTTTTAAAAGGATATAACAAGATGGACGCGGTTTTTAAACCAATCCGTTTTGTAACGTCCTCTTTGAACGCGATTTTTTCAAAATCAAAATGCTGTATTTTATAGTTGCAAACACAAAAATCCTTTTCCATTCTGTACTATACATTCTTTTTACAGTGATGTATCCGCTGCAATTACCAATCTAGGCCACACTTTCACGGAATGTTCCTCATATCAGAATATTTTTTCCAGATTATTGTATAGCTCTAGTTGGTTTCCTTTATTCTTTCCTCTTTTATTCTCTAGTCATATGCGTTAAATTCAAATCAGGAAATATTCAAGACTTTGTCATGCATGGTTACAGAGAATTTTTGAAAACACCTAATGAGGGTTTGCATGAGTTCTCTATATATGCGACATATCGTCAAAAATCAAATCAGCAGCAACTTTATTGTACTAAATGTTTTCTGACAGTCACGTTCTGTAAGATGTTAAAAGGATATGAACATTTTTCAGCTAATTGTAGCGGTGTTTATTTATTTGATCGATGTTATAGTCAAAAACTACACAGTTCTTTCTAACCTCTTATCAGAGTCAACTCGAACCAACGAATGCTTTTTGTTCTATTATTTCGGAGTCCGAATAATAGACACAGCTTACAACAGATAACAGTTGTCCGAAATTAGGACAATTGTTTGAACAATCCAAAGATCAAGTGATTTATTTTTATTACGTTGGGTATGGTAGAGCTCGTCGAACTACATAGGCAAACACGGGCTTTAGTTTTGTTAAAATAATTTTCTGTGAAAAAAAGTAAAATTGAAAAGTTTGAATTATGTCAAGAAACCGAAAAGTTTAAAAAACCGAATACTTCGTTCTTTTTACGTGCCTCGATCGGTTTATTCGGATTCCCCGCACAAAACAGTAGCCATATTTTACGGAATAATTATAGAAAACTACAATGAAAGTGGAAAAATTCATGACGATTTTTCCACTTCCGTTCGAGTTTCGTTTCCCCAATCGTCATTTTAATTTTCATAGTTGCCAAATATGGCTTTCTATAGCCATTATTGTGTGGGTCATTTAATCATAATAAAATGGTTGAGGCATGTAAAAGAACGAGAAACATGGAGATTTTCGATTTTTCAAATTTTTAGGTTTATTAACATAATTTAAAAAATTTACTTTTTTACTTTTTTTCACAGAAAATTATTTTAACAAACTAAAGCCGATGTTTTCCTATGTGACTCCCCAACGAGATAAAAAAAATTTCACTTGATCTTTTGAAAATTGCGTTGATCTTCGAACTAATATTTTGATGAGTTCCAGTTGGAACATTCAAAAATAATACCAATCTTACCTCAACTCTCTTCAAACAGGTTTCACGATCATAGGGTAAGATTGCTAACGTCTGAATGTAAAAATCAGTTGGATTAAATTTTTCGGGGGGTGTAAATCCCAAACTATTAAACGATAAAATTAGCATAAGCAGACTATCTGTAATGGAGTATATCAGGCTACATACCGTCCAAAAAATTCTTTCGCTTTTGCAAGCGGACCAAAATAAGCTACCCGTCCTTCTGCTAAAAGGTATAATCTAAAATATAGTAAGGGAAAATAATAATGCATACACTGGAGAGACCAATAAAACATGAGCAGTTTACGTGTCGAATAAGTGAGTTATTTCGCTTGATGGTTGATGAATAGTGCAAACAATCGTTTTCCCTTTATTCGCCAATTTTCGCATTGCATCACATATGACAAATGCCATAGAACCGTCCAGTCCGGTGGTAGGCTGTAAATGTGCATAATAGTATGTGATGGAATAGGAGGAAATTTATATATTATTCAATATACCTCGTCGGCGAACAACAATGGCGGATCACTCAAAACCTAGTGCGCAAAGAAAATTAAGTTATAATTTTATTCAGTTAGCTATTTCTTACCTCCGATGCGAAGGGATCTTTCATTTAGGATATTCATATGACTTGCCAACACAAACCCTTTATGACAAAAAAACATATTAAGCTAATATCATACCTCAAAACCACTTTTAAGTCTTCTATTTCGAAACAAAAATAAACTCATATACGACTTGCGTAGATCAGGAAAAACACCTATGCAACTGTTTCAATGCAACCAAAACCAGCATTAGTGTTCATACCTCCTCCCCTCGTGCCTATGTCGTTGATGGAAAGTGCAAAATGTTAATCGGCGTTTTTCTCCTCCACTAAGACCTTTTATTCGTCCTGGTTCACCTATCATTGTCTTTTCGACTTTTTTCAGATTGAGCTAGCAAAAAAGAAAACTATTAAGATGTCGGAAATTCAAAAGCATAGCAAATACTTTCTTTCAGTTTTGTACATGGTCGAATAGCGTATGTACATCGAGCTGATTAAGAAAAAATTAAAGATCACTTTTTCTTAATCGCTACGCTATTCAACCATGTGCAAACAACTGAAACAAAGTATTTGCTATGCTTTTGAATTTCCGATACCTTACGAATAAATCGTTTAATTTACTGCTGAGATAGCTCTGATAACTTACAAAATCAAGTATTTCGTCTACTCGTTGAAGACGTTGTTCTTTTGTAATATCTTTGTTCAATCGTAACATTGCCTACAAAATGCACTCGCTTTACACACAAGCCAAGACTGAAAAATCCTCTAATTGTATCGAAACATGAATTTAATTTTTGTAACATTTTTAAATGTTGCAAAAATTAAATTTATGTTTCAATTTTTTACTCGTGACCGGTCTTTGGCACGATACTCGATCGACTGGCAAAGTCTCTCTTAAGATACGGTATTAAAAAATCTTGTCAATTCTTTTACATACTTGAAATGTTAAATGTTCACGAGCAGTCATTGTTGGAATAAATAATTCTTCCTGTTGTACATAGCCGGCTACTCTCGATATATTTCTACCCATTTCAGATCCATTTACCCGAACATCACCACTGATTTTTAAATTTCCAGGTCGACGAGATGTCAAAATATTCATTAACGTTGTTTTACCAGCTCCGCTAAAATAAACTCATAAAGATTGTAAAAAACTAATTTCATCATTACAGTCAAACATACCTAGCACCCATGATTGCTACTAATTGTCCCGGTTTAACGATTCCGCTTACTGCCAGTAACAATATAAAGTATCAGCTGTTTTTTATACGGTGTATTCTTAACTTACCTCCTTTAAGCAATTGTTTTGGCTGTTGAACTTCTCTCCATGGACAATACGTTTGTTTGACCCATTGAGTGAGTCCAGATTCTTTCGGAGGTACCTCCGCTTTTAAGTCAAGCCATGTTAATGTGACTGGTAGTGAAATATAATCTATTTTTGATATTCCTTTATCATCGTCTATGCCATAATAATTTTGATTTATGTCACCTTGTTCGTCAATTTTTAACTGTTGCCGTCTTCTTCGTCGTGTATTCGGATGTTTTCCATACGGTACATTATGTCTGCCTTGAAGACCAGCTTGTCGTCGTAAATATTCATACCATTCTAGATTTCGTTGCGTTATTGGATAATGTTTATCTCTCCATAATGGACGCTACAAAATTAATTTACATAACAAATTTAAACCGTGAAGTGTGTCTTATTACCTGTTGTCGTAAATAATCACCAATATTATTGTGTAAATCCTTGTTCACTTGATAATTCCAAAAAGCATTTGTAGCCGAATCAGGTACTGGTTGTAACGTCTATAAGAGAAGTTTAGTGTTCAAAAACCTATTTTAAACACATGTAGATGCATGTTAGATAATAAATATAAAAGTTCCAGTTTTAACGGTTAAACAGAGATCAGCTTTGTCTCTTCAAGATCACCAGGCTCGTTAAATCTCATCTCAATGATATCTATAGAAGTATTACGTACACAAAATTCTTTGTTTGGATATTTAAATAAGACAAAATGGTCTTCTCTCTTATTCAAAGTATGGAATGAATAAACTTACCATTAAAAGTCTAATCAACTAATAACAAGTTTAATTACTGTCCCTCTACTATCTATATACTAGTTACAGGTTGTTAAATAAGTGTGACGGACGTCTCATTATTGTAACTGCCTCTGATTACCTGAAAGGTAATTTATTTTCTTTTTGTGCTATCGCACCTAAAGTGGAAGACCGTATAGTACGTTCTGGTTTGAACTGTATACCATCAGCATCAAACAATATTCTAAGCAATTTCCACTTAGGTGATTAATTAGAAAGACGAAACCGTATTTCTATCTGTTGAAGCGAATGTTAATAAAAGTCAGTGTGCGCTTGTGAGAGCTACGACAACGTAACGTTTGTGATATGTAAATAAAACATCCACGGTTGGACTTTCATACTGTGCACATTCATGCATATCATAGCACTGGTCTAATTGGCAACGGCTGAATTTTCGAGAAATGCTCATATTTTTAATTTATGCGTGTGTAATGATGCGTTTTTCTGGTGAACAATCAAATTACAGTCATGGATTATGCTAGTTTTTTCTCCAAAGAAAATGTTTCACTGCAGACCTTGTAAAATTATGAACCCGATTATATTACTTGCACCTTCATTTATATAGTCATTCAAAACGGGATTTGATTTAGATATTGCTCTAAACTATAAAAAAATGACTTGTTTTACAAAATAAGATACGAATACGTCGTACATACAAAATCAACTATAATTATAACTCAGTTAAAGTATGCCCAGTAGTCAAAAAAATTTGTGGATCTAGACGAATAGATGTGCTTTACAAACTGAGAATGTCAAAAACAGGTTATAGAAAAAAAAATTTTAATTTTGTGAACGTTGATCATTTAGGAATCAATCTCCAAATCCTTAGAAACGTAACCGTATTCTCAACCGATACCATCGATTATATATCCAAATCAACTTTGATTCAACGACAAACTATTACTTTTTAATTAAAAATTAGTCTGTCTCGCCGAGAGAAGTCCGGCTATAAGGCTGCTGAAAAGCTATCTGCAACAGTAACCACAACAGATGCTCGGACTGCACTGTTAACCCAGCAATTCCATAAGCAATTGCCTCATTTTGGTGAATATGCTGTTTTCCATGCATCCAAAGTGTCGTGCAAGATGTACATAATGATGGAACCTGGATTATCAAGCTCGCGCTAGCAAGTGAAAATGATTCTGAATTAAAAGAATTACCTGAGTGCATGAAAAGCAGTTTAACTGGCCCTGCAACACTCGTAACTCCTGTTGAATATACGAGCAAGCGAGATGGTGTTTTAATCGCCAAATAAAAGAAATAGATAGTAGTACCGATCTCTTTGAAACTGCTCAGTGTTATTCCGGTATGTTTTAAAACTTTAATATGATGTACTTATAACTTTTTGGTTGTAGATCTTGGCCGGGTTGCTAATTTTTACAAAACTATACGATCTACAATTCTATATCATGAACAAGCAAGCGCTAGCAATCAATGTGTCAGTGGTTCCTTAGAATACTCACAATCTAGCTAGCGATTACAGTAATGTAGTTAACGTCTATGTGAACAAGGATGATTTCGCAACCGCATTAAAATACTACTACCAGGCATTGGAATTAGATAGGAGAATAACGTAGAAATAGCACGATTCTATCACAATATTGGCCGTAGTTGGAGCTCATTAGGTAACTGCAAAGTTGGTCTAAGGATAACACCATCTTTCCATAACCAATCTCGATATGAAGGTTTGTTGTGAGATATGAGCTTCAGAAACAACTGATTCAACATCTCACCAAGTCTGCAACACAGTGGGCAATCAAGCGGACATTAGGCGAAATAACGAAAGTGAGATTTTTCGGGATTCAAATAGTGTCATGTATACACTATTCAATGACAGATTTTATGATAAAAAAATTTTGATCCAAGTGCTTAAGTTGGCCGAGAAACCTAAGTTTCAATTTTAGGCCAGTTTTTACGATACTTTAGGAAAACCGCTTCTCTGTTTCATCAGGCAGTGTTATTAAAAACTGTGACACAGATCTTCTGAGAGCTGAAAGCTTTTCCAAAACACGTATTTAGTAAAGTGAACGCGCTAGCTATTGCTAACGAGTAAACGCAATGAGACTTTCAGAGAATATTCTCCTATAGGAGTGCATCTACAAAACTTGTAGAAACATGCCGTTTTTTTCCACTGCAAAGTTATAGGTTTTACAAGGAACCTAGTTTTCCAGCGGTAGTTTCCGTCTTTCTCGGCTAGGAAATATCCTACCTAAAACCTAAGGACATATTCGGAATCAGCATAGAAAACTGCATCTAATGATGTGTCTTTTAACCAGTTTCAACGAAAGTCTGCTTAAGGTTCCAAAAACAGCGTTTTTCCAATATTTTCCTCTAAAGTTTGAGCTGAAGTTTTTTGCAGCAATCTGCGAGTGTTCAAAAATTGTGAAAACCCGTTTTCTCTAGGTTTTCGACCATGGTGAATCTAATGGTAGCATTTAAAAATTTTCGTCATGGTTTTTCGGGGGTTTTTAGAGTCCAAGTTTCTAGAAAATCTCTCAAAACCGGAATTTTTGAAAATTTTCTGGTGTCATAAGAAAGAGCATGTAAGAAAACCTACCGAGGCTTTGTTTTGAGTCAAGTAAAACTGAGTTAAACCAAATGTCCGCCTGCCTATGGAAAATTGCCCACTGTGTGCAAAGGCCACTCAGCAGAACTTCAACTAGAATTTCGTTACTTAAGGAGCATTTCATTAAACTGAAGAGGATAAACGTTATGATCGAATTTGGAAGAAATCTGCAAATTTTTCTCGTCTCCAATTGTACCAGTCATCGAAACTTGTCTGATGGAAGTCGTCGCTGGTTCTGGATCTGGTGGCATTGATGGCACTGTGGATGTAAGGAACCAAAAATGTCAAAACTTTTGGAAATCACTATATTTGGGGTACTAATACAAAAAATTAATCAAAGAAAATGTTCGATAATTGAGCATTAACAGCCAATAATGATGTAAAAACGCCCATCACATGATGTTATTAACTGCCTATTTTCCGACAGTTTTTAGCCTGTTAAAAAATACCGTTTTAAGGCATTAAACGTTCCCATTCATAAGGTGTAAAAATGGCCATTTAATGACTATTTCATTAGCTATTAACTGGCATTTAACAGACAATTAATTACACCGTTTTCGACGTCCTGGGACCATGTTTTGATGAGAGATAGAAATCTCCGTAAACTTTCTATAGCCGAGTTGAAGAAAATATATTATACAGTTTCTGATTTCATAGTAGATATATCAAGATTTTATAATATTTGATGTCGTAGCTGTCATTTATAGTACATGTGTACATATAGTCACTACATCTATGCGATGTTTGTTAAATACACTTTCTGGGGCCAGGGGCTAGTTTCTTAAAAAAACTTAACCAAAACTTAAGTGAAAAATTCGCCTTAAGTTTAAGTTTTAGCTAAGTGTGTTTCTCAAAAATTACTTAACCATTACTTAAGTCAACTCTCGATTTCACTTAAGTTTTCACTTAAACTTTTAAATAGAAAATTGTTTAACTTTGTTTTAACCATTTTTTATTTAAATAGAAGCATCACCAATCGGGTATTTACCCATTATAGGCTTTGCCAAAGAATAAGAAGAATGATTATGAGAAAGCAGGAATCAAAAATAGTAAAAAGCAGATAACATAATGTGCTGTGAAAGGACGGTAGGAAGAATGGCTGTGCGTGTGGAGCGAAAAGTTTTATGTAAAAAAAAATAGAAACATCAGACACGGTCAAATCGCTTTGTCTCCTCAATATATTTTAAAATAACTCTGTAAATATCTTGCATCTGTTCAAATGAATGGTGGAGGCCTCTAAAACCACAGAGAATAAAATCAACATTCTCAAATTTGTTGACAGTTAATTCTACCATTTTCCTTCTCATCTTTATCCTTGCCTGCGCGTAATTTGGACAGTGTAAAAAGAAATGGACAACAGTTTCATCTGCGCCACATGAATACGATGGATCACTGACTAGTGTATGTGTGAACAGATCAAATTTTAATTATGAAAAACCAATTCGCATTCGACAAAAGTTAATCTCATTAGTTCTATCGACAATATGTGGAATGCAATAAATACTTGGTAAGTATTTATTTTGTTTCCAGTGGAGAAGACGTACTTGGAACTGACTACATCGACCAATCGTCCGTAGTTCAAGCGGAATTTCATTCCATAGTTTGTACGTTGTTCGTATGAATGATTTCTCGAAAACTTGGAAACCCCTTGTGAGTGTCGGTTACATTGAGTACGACTATGTAAATTGTGAGAATGAGTAGTGGTATCAGCAGATACCAACTCAATTAATCCAATAGGGGCTTTCGATGCATAATCTTGTGGAATAAAGTCAGACGTTGATTGATGAATGTCTCCTCTATCGGTAGCTAACCGAGATCCTCCAGTACCCTCTTCATCGAGGAAAGTCTCATACCACCTGTTACTGCAAGTGCTCCGTGATATTGTAGAGATGCAAGTCGGTTCAAATTTGTTCTACTTGTGCCAGAATATAAAACACTACCATAGTTCATTATAGTAAATACATATGAGTGGTAGGCTAACAAAAGTGCTCGTCTTCCCATACAGCGAGATAACAATTTTAATGATCCAATCATTTTGGAACATTTTGAATAAACGTTATCTACATATGGAGTCCAATCCAAATTGGGAGTTAAAACTAGCCCTGAATGAGTATGTTTATCAACATACCTCAACGTCGTATCACCAAGAATAAGTGCTGGCGGACAGGCTTAGCTTTATGTGTGAAGAAAAGCGAGTAACATTTGAGAACATTTATGTTCTACAATCAGTCCTTCGGCCATTGATAAACTCGCTCCAAATCTTTGTTTATATTCACCACATCCTGATTCGTCTTAACTACCGTATAGAGAGAGACATCATCAGCAAACAACCTGCACGTGCAGACCATTGAGTGCGGAAGATCATCGATGAACAACAAAAAGAGAAGTGGCCCTAGAACCGAACCTTGTGGTACACCACAACCGATGCGCGCACTAGATGATGTGAAGCCTTCTACCATGGTGACAATATTCAAATAACTGCGAAACCAACCAAGCAGCGATCCGCGAATACCTTTACTCGCTAGCTTCAGTAATAAACCTTCATGTGAGACCTTGTCGAACGCTTTACAAAAGTCGACGAAAACCGCCAGAACTGGGTGCTTATCATTAAAAGCTAAAGCAATGTCATGAACCATCTGAACTAACTGAGTAATTGTGGAGTGAGATGGTAGAAAACCTGATTGATTCAGATTAATTTCTCGTGCTTTAATAAGAAATGTAAACACTCGCTTGAATATGACGCGTTCGAATATTTTGGAAACAGCTGAAAGGAGGGTTACCGGTCGATAGTTTGTGGGATGATGAACATCATCTTGCTTAAATATAGCGGTAACAAAATCCAACTTCCACTGTGAGGGAAATGTCTCCATTGACAATGAGTGATTGAATAGCTGTGTTAGAACAGGTGCTAAGTCAAAGGCACCCTCCTTCAACATCCGCCCACTGATCCCAGGAGCAACAGCTTTCATTACATTTATTTTCTTTAACGCATAATATACCTCATTGACATCGATAGTAAAAGTGGGCATAATTTGCTTATGAGTGGGCAATGTTGGAAAAATATGCCCTTGAGTATTTAAAGGCGTGCACACTTCAGCAAAATAACGATTTAAAACTTCACCTTTTTCACATGGATGACTAACCATACTATTTGTTCGCGCATCATGTAATGACGCAATTGAGATCTGTTTATGTTTTCCCAAAACATGTTTCACTATTGTCCACCACTTTTTTGATGAGTTATTCACATCGATTTGTAATCGTGAATAGTATGCCTGTTTTCCTTGGATACATTCGTTCTCGAACAAAGACGCTGCAGTCAAGTATAACTGCTGATCAGTTGCGGCTTGACTTTTAGCATATTTCTGATACAGTTTCTGTTTGTTTGCATTGACTTTTCGAAGTTTATTAGTAAACCACGGTGCATCATAAGAAGAGATAGTTATCATCTTGTGAAGAATACATTCATCTAAGATCTTTAGCATTGTTGCTGTCCAGATGCAGACTTTATCATCCATAGATACGAGATGATCAAGAAGAGAATGTCAGTCGATTGCTTCCAAACATTGACGATAAGTATCCCAATCAGTGTGCACATAATTATAAATTTTCCGTTTATACTTATAACGTAGTGATTTTTGCGAAAAAAGATTAAACTAAACAATGGAATGATCGCATGAAGAACATAATGGACTCTTTACACAAACATTTGTCACTGAAGCAATATTATTCATCAAAATCAAATCAAGACATGATTTTGATTTCAACCTCGTTGGTTCGCTAACTAATTGAACTAGACCTTCATTAAGAGCAAAATCATACAGCATATCACCTTCGACCGTTGATTTTCTTGTTGGGCACCATTTATACGAATGACAGTTAAAATCACCTGTAAATACGATTGAGTCATATTGCCGATGTATATTGGATCGAATTTTATATAGAGCATCGGATAGATGTTCAATAAATTTCAGGCAATTTATCCAATCCGGCCTGTAACACGCACCCAGTAGATACCTCTTCCCGTCGTTCAAGTAGAGTTCCAAAAACAATGTCTCAAAATCAGGATTCTCCAAAGTGTTACAGCGTTTAGCTATAATATCATTGCGAACAAAAACCAACAAACCTCCGCCACCTTTCCCTACGCGATCACGACGTATCGGAGACTGATAATTACCTACCAACAACATAGAGCTATCAGTGGTTCTACTTAACCAAGACTCGGTCACTACAACTGTCATGGGTCTAGAAGGGTTCATCATGTTAACAAGCAAGTCAAATTTCAGAGGAGAGAGAGCACTTTGAATTCTCATCCAGTTTTCCCATTATACTGTTAGCGTTAAGACGAAGAATCGAATCCAGCGCGTGTTGATGTTTTGTTAAGAAATTACTTGGCGCCATCGCGTCGAAGGAAAAAGATTCCCCACACACACCGCGTCGACTCATAGCACAATTTCCACAGCACAAAAGATAAACCGAAAAAATGTAGTACAATCACACAATAAATTAAAAAGAGGATCAGCATTTGTTGTAGGCTCATGATGAAGGAAAAAGAGAAAGTTTTGTACACACTAACCTAGTTTGTATACTGGACAGTTCATTGGATACTGTCAATTTGATCAAGCGAGGAAATCAAAATATTCTTTGCACTGGCCACATAATAATAGATCAACCCATTCCGAGTAAAGACGCGTCGCTTATTCAATTTTTTCCGTGCGTACACATAGATTTCATTATTTATTGATGTTAAGTGCTCATTGATGAACGCTTGTTTATAATTTTGCATCTCTTTCAGTTGTTTACGTTTCGAATATATCGCTTGACGGTCAACAGCACGTACGAAACTTACAATTATTGGTTGAGTAGAATCTATACGACGAACAGGTAATCGATGTGTGGCGTAGATGTCTTTAACGTCAATTTTCACGCCAAGAGATTTAGCCAGATCTATAATAATTGACGTTGTATCTTCCCTTTGTTTCATAGGAATTCCTGTAATAATGAGATCTCGCCGTTTGCTATATTGTTCAATGTCATTCAATTTATTTGTTAATTTCACGATTCGCTCATTTGCTACTTTCAACTGTTCTTTCACATCTTTCACCTGCATGTCAACTCTTTGATGAATTACCTCCGAGATCCCGTGCATGAATGATTCTGACACAACAATAGCCTGACAAAATTGACCAACGAAATCGACTGACAAAAATGTTTCCTTAATAGCATTAATAAGTCCGTCACTCACCAACGATTTCTGGAGAAGTTTATCAGTTTCATCACGATCCATTATTAGGGATTCCGAACCTTTGTGTTTTTTTCCATCATTTTCTTCAAAACTTATATTACGTTCAGTATTGCTATCCATATTATTGCGTATGTACAAACACGTTTCTTTTTTTAAAGAAGAAAACGTCCTTTTATCATGAAAATAAGACGAGAATGAATGTTTGACTTTTGTAACTTCTCTATTTGAGGTCAGGAACACATTCAACCCACCATAATTAGACTGAACATAATTTTTTAGAAATTTTGTTCCGAAAATTGCTTTAAAGTAATCTAAATTGTCTAAAATACGAATGGTTTTTACTGCATGAGCTCGGCCTGACTTATGTTTTTTTAAGAAACTGCCCCCCGATTATATTTGTTGTTCGCTCTTTTCAGGCGCGCACCATATCTGTTATATAGCTATTTCTTTTTCTTTCCCCATTTTTCTTGTAACTTTTTATTTTTTATTATTCTCTCTTGTTCGCTCTTTGCACTCGCTATATCGGCAATCGAGATCTACAATGCCTAGGCGATTGATCTCTAAAACATGTTTAGATTAACCATTTGATTAAGAAAATATTTTAGGGATAAACTCTCTGTTTGAGGTACAGTCGTTCAGACATGATGTGGGAAAGATCTCAAGTGTTGAATCGAAGTCAGTGTTATTCTACTATGCATTTTGGCGCTCCAACTGCAAGTTCTAAATAAAAGCTTCCGGTTAAGCAGTAGCGGGCCGACGTGATGGCAAGGTGTGGCAATTGCCACACCAAAAAATTGGTGCGATCACATAAATGCCCTAGTCGAGACTCTCGGCAAAATTACCAGCGGTACTCCTGTCACGGGATCCTGCGGGAGTCAGGTGGAACTTTCAAGGGCTTTCTCAGGACTCTTGAGAACTCCCGTGGGATTTTGAGGATTCTGAGGACTGTGGACTCGAGAGTTCCATAGGAGTCCTGAGAAATCCCTTGAATGTCCTACCTGACTCCTGCAGGACCCGTGAGAGTTTTGTCGGATGTCTCGACTAGGGTGTGCTCTTAGTTTCAAAAGTTCAAGGTTTTTCAAGGTTTTTTTTTGTTCATTACTGATACTTTTCGAAATTTATTGCCACACCAAAAATGCAGACTCTGGCGCGCCACTGCAGTTAAGCAACATAACTCTGATGTCTCAAAAGTTTTAAATCAGGATTTCATTGGTGATATCCACCCGAGTTTAATGCATCTTACCCTAGTCCAAACGCCCGACAAAACCCCCCACGTGACTCCTGTCACGGATTCCTGGGGAAATCAGGTGGGGCTTTCAAGAGACTCCCGAGGACTTTCGAATCCCTTGAAAGTCCCATCTGACATCCGTGAGAGCAGCGCCGTGGGAGTTTTATCGATAGTCTCGACTAGGATAGTCGTCTACTACATTGCATCTGAAAAGCTCTTTGAACATATATTTATCACTGCATCGAGAAAGAATAAGATTTTTCATATGAAAACTTAAGTTTTAGAGATATAAGCAAAACTGTAACATAGCACAGTTTAGAGGACAGCAATCAAAAACTGATTGGATTATAGTTCTAGCCTATATTCGTCTAGTTTAGTATAGGAAGTGTGTGTGTGTGAGCAGAGCAGAGTGATTTGATTCATGTTTTTACGATTAATTAGTGAAAATACAGAAGAATAATAGATGTTGTTAGTTTTTTTCTAAGTGTGATGTTGACATCTCTAGTTCTATATGATCATTCAAATATTTCATCTTTTTGAAGTCATCGAACTATGATTGGTGTCAGTCTATGTTCTATTTTCGATCATAACTCAATGCGTCGCATAAGGCAAAGACTAGAAAGCATAATTATATATGGAAAAACGGCTCAGATGACTATATTTTCATTTTTCTTAGATGACTGATATTGGTACTTCTCCAGATATTACATCATCAAACAGTGACCAATTGAAAATTATTTGTTTAGGAGATAGTGCGGTATGTGCAAAACAGTGTTTTTAATAGTGCGCTGGACAAGCAGACTTGCCACTGTAATCCAGTGTAATTTTCAATCGTGATTTCAAAATTTCCACGATGTTTCTAATTGTGAATTAAATTTTGTTAAATTGCAAATTCTAACTCTAAATTTCCACTATACGTTCTTCTACAGATCAATCAACTCCCCACTGGTAGGGTGATTGTGTTATTAGTAGGAAGACGATCAACCATGAAATATCTCGCTGTGGTGCTGATTCTACAGTGGAAATATCTATCATGACAAAAAATTTCTATTTAAAACGTTGGTGCAAAGCAGACAGACGAAAGAGTGTTGAAAAGATTTTTTTTCTATAGGTTGGGAAATCGAAACTATTGGAACGATTTCTCGTTGACTCTTAGTAAGTTTAATATATTTTATTTAAATTACAATATGAACTTTTTGAGAAAACGATTTTATTTTAGTAAAGGTCAACAACATTCAACGTACGCTTTAAATATATTTAAATATTCAACAAAAATCGAGGGAAAGAATACAGTGGTTGAATTTTGGGATACTGCTGGGCAAGAACGATTTAACAATATTCATCCATCATATTTTCATCAAGCACATGCATGCATTATGATATTTGATGCCACAAGAAAAATAACATATAAAAATCTTGATAGATGGTACCAAGAACTACGAGAGGCGAGACCAGCAATTCCTTGTTTATGTGCTGTGAATAAAATTGATGGTTAGTTTAAATATTGCATATATTAATTTAAACGCTATAATGTCTTTATTTTAGCTGATTTAAATATAACAAAGAAAAATTTTAAATTTCCAAAGAAAAATGATATGCCACTCTATTTTGTATCGGCAGCAGATGGATCAAACGTTGTCAGAGTATGTTGTTGACTTTTTCTCGTCATTATCGTGTTCTAAAAATATGTTTCTTTGAATTTAGTTATTTCGTGATGCAATCAGATTAGCTTATGCTTACAAATCAGGTGATTCACAAGATTTTATTGATCAAATACTTCGAGAACTAGAGGTGAGAGAGTATTGAGTTCATTTTTTCTGTGTGAATCTTACAGATTTTCGTTTTGTTTTTCATCGATAACTGACAGTTTTTTTACTACGACTTCCTCTTCCATCTTGTGAAAAACAACTATTTATTTATTTGAATATTTAGAATTAGTGGTAAATTATTTTCGTATGTATTACCTAAAGTTTGATAGTTCTTGTAAACAGAAAATATGATCGATTAGTACTTCTATTGATATAATGAGATAAACTTGATTGTCGAGTTATATCGTTGGACAAATGGATAGAAAAGAACTTATTTCTTATCGGTCATCTTTGTTACTAATCTTTCTCTCGTTCGATAGCTTTGTTAGACGCACTCTTGAGTATATTTTGTGTATGACTCGTACAGAACCGTTTGCCAATAGAGTTCAAGTAACAAAAATATAGACCATGCTTTCCTACTATATTTGAATAGAACCTCTTATTTAATTGTCTCATTTGTGGTCCCGATTCGAACTGTCATATTAGAAAACAAAAGTTCAAGTTTCGTCTGAATTAGAAATGAGCACTGCTGAATGTTATGAATAGTGTTGTATTGTATTACTTCAGAAAAAGTCTTTCAAATTAAACGATACGTCGTTATTACCAATTGTTCGTCATAAGTCTCTTACTGATTTAGTTATTCTATGCCATCTTGACCATCTGTATCATTTACAAAATAAATCGGTGAAAACATCATTCTACGATATGTCATACATTAGTTATTTATTGTCAGAATTAAGAACAACATTTAGCACAGTGTTAACAGCATCATCAAAAAATACATTCTTATCTTTTGGAGAAAATTTATTAATATCAGAAAAGAAATAAGTGTATTATAAAATTATGCTATTTATATGAATTGATTACAAAGTCAACATATACAAAAAAACTGAAAATTGACTACTGAAAACTGAAATTTCTGTAATTTATCTATTGAAAAATGTAGCAATAAAGAAGTTTTTTTATGAAGAGGGAATATTGGAAACATACTTGATCTGTATCAATGAACATATAAAGTAATATATTATGGATGATAAAAGAAACATTTATAAACATCAACAGATTAAAGTATTGGTATAAACATTTACTTTCAAGATTATCTTCGTTAATCTATCGTGTTTTCTTGTTATACCATGATACGTTATTAATTTTTAAACAAAAATAGATAATGAATCATTATCATCTGAATTTTGTTACAAAAATGTATAATAAAACATCACCGGTATTAAATAAATATTCAACAAAAGCTAAGAATGTATTATTTATCTATTGAAATTACAACAATATCCAAATCAAACTCAACTCTTCTTACTTTTAAAAGGAAATCATTTGGAGGAACAATAATAATAATAGAGTATATAAAATATAGAACTGCTGTAAAATACATGAGAAATTTATAATAAAAAATCAATATCTATTAAAATGATAAAGACGAGCTTTCGAACACATCTATATTCATTTTCATGTCAGAATGACTACTAGATGAACAGAATCAAAAGATGTATATATACAGAAAAAAGGAAGAATATTAGAACGAGAGAATTAGTATATATTGTACATTTAACAATGTATTTTTCTAAGTTGAAGAATCAACGGATGGATTGAAAATCTCCAACTTTTTAGATCTGTTACATTGTTATCTTTTATTAGATAATATAATTAATAAATCAATAAAATTATATACGAATACTTATCATGAATAACACCTGTAGCAGCCCAAAACTGGAAAAAATTGTAACTGACTTCAACCTGAACATTTTATTTAATTAATTTGGAATTTTTGACAAACTACGGTCATTTTCAACAGATAGTCGTTATCATTTTTACGAAACAAGGAAATCAAAGTAAATTAACAAAATAGAGAGAGAGTGAGAATTGTAGTTTTTCGATTGGTAATAACAACTACTATTAAGAAGTGTTCCTATTGTCTTTTATTAGTTATAGTATTTTAGATGTCACTAACCAATGCCAGTCTTTTTTGTTAATAATTTCTTATCAGTACCATCTGGATAAATGTACAATGATATGGATTTGTTAGTTCCATTTAACACAGGAAATATCGATCTAAGTTCTAAAGATTCTTTTATCAGTAATTTGTAATAATGTTTTTCTAAAACAATTTTAGAAAAATCATCCGGTGTAAACACACCCGCTTCTTGACTAAACTCTTAAATGTGAAGGATATTAAACATTTTTATTTTTATTTTCGTTGTTTCTTCGTACTAACATTATTTGTTTATATCTTCACTATGGACGGTCCGTTGCCTAACTAAAGCAGTTATTTGAATACAGTTCCATTTAAAAACAAATAAAATTAGGTAACGTTTAAATAAAGACATTCGGTAACCTGCAGTTGTACCAAAGATTTTTCAAGTCATATATTAATAAAAAGATGTGCGCCGAACTTGGCTATCGAATATCGAAAACGGCAGGTCGATGTCTATATTTATTCAAGGGTTAATCAATTTCACATAAAACCGACTGTTATTTTTTGCTCAACTATTTTCTTATCAGAAATAGTCAGGGCACTCGCGGATCAATCCAAACTCAGTTTTTAGCTTGTTATAGGTTAGACAGGGCATAACTTTTGGTCCCAAAGAGACAATAAAATTACAAGTCAGCACTTACTTACTGAACATCAAAGATGATAAAATGATATGATATTTTTGTATATGTCACTGGTAAAGATAACTCATTTGAGTATCTGTACCGGATATTATCTAGTTTGTTCACGAAAAACTTCTTTTTTCTAGAATTTGTCTTTTCTGATAAGTGACTGTGAAATTTTGCAGACAGTTGATCTTTCCGACATAATCATGGATTGACAACTAAAGAAAAATAGCAGATTTTATGCTTGAGTGAACTTACATCTTACTAGTATAGCGCGGCAAAATTGTGTACTTTTAATATTTCCAACGTTTTCATAATAATCTGCATTGTGCTTCTCTGGCTCGTGGATTCGACAGACGAATACCAAGTCTGAATCCACTCTGAGCCGATCTGAAAATTTTACGCTTTTTCTTCAAACCGAGCCGAATAGCGTAAAAAACATCTATGCACCGGGTCGAGTAATTTCTTTTTTTACTACCGTGTTTTCTTTTTTTTCATTTAGAATTTAGATGAATCTCCTATTACAGCAAAATATTCGCTTGAAAATGGTAATGGCAATGTTACATGAACAATTGACGATTATGTGATAGAAAAACATTAAAATCTCATTTTATTGTTGTCTCACAGTAGTTAGATTTTGTTTTGTTGCAACCAGAACTTCAATATGTTTTATTTGAACGAGCTTAATGTAATCTTGTGAACGCTTAGCTAGAAATTTGTTATGTTTTTTTGTCAGATGTTCACTACCGTCCATAATTTATTTTTTGTAGAAATCCTACAAATGATATGCTAAAATAGAATGGCATATTTGTTTTTCTTCAATAGCATTATTTTTGTTCATATTTATACATTTGAACTTAACAAACATCAACATTTTAGAAATACGAACGAATGTAATTCGAGTTTTAGTGGGAATATTCTTAACTTCTTTGAAAAAAAATTATTGACTATGATTAAAACTTTTCATACAACCGTATTATGACATTGAATATCAAATCATTTCAGAGTAATTACAATGGCTTCAAATAATGAAAAAGTAGAAAAGTCGAGGTACTTATCTCCGGAAAACTATTATTATTATTTTATCTTTCTTCTTTTCGATGAGTTTGATCGTACAAAAGAAGGAAAGAATAATGAATGATGCCCTATAATTAGTTCATTTGGTTATCTTCTTGTTCTCACTGAAAAACTTTCCTGTTTATGTTCTCTAATCGTACTGAACATCAGAAAGTCTTTCATCCATTATGAATAAGTGGATTGAATCAAATGATTTGTCATCATATCATTACCTATAATTTTTATTACCGAGAAAAAAATGTAGATTGAGAATAATCAAAAAGGAAACCGATGCATGCACTCTCATAAACTATGATCATTGGTTTGTTGTTTTTTTCTTCTCATAAATTATGTTGGATTTTGTAGAAGGTAATTGTGATGAGATATACTTCTTTTTAAGTAACTTATTTACACTTAAAGAACAAAAGTGTCTTATTATTCTTCATGACAGGAACTGTGTTATAGCCTTTTATTTGAAGTTTCATGCGGATATACTATACTATTCATCCAACACGTTTCAAGGCGCTTAGTAGTGTATTTCTTGAAAATATTTTATTGTTACTTTTTATCACTAAAATCTAATTAGTTACTAGAAGACAAGTAAGATACACACTTTATATGTGCACCAAAATATAGCGCTAAGTGTCACAATATAAATTTGATATATGAGCTCTCATTATCAAAGAAAGCAAAGCAGATTTATAATAGACAGTCATTTATGACATGAACGGATTATTCATAAGGAAATAGTTATAATTCAGCCAGTATTTGGTATCTGTTTTTTTGGATGACTCTGTAAAATTAATCTGTAAATTCTGTATATCTCGTGTACAAGGATTTTTTAGAGAACGGAATTAGGATTAAAAAGAGAACTGGTTAACTTTTTATGGGCAAATTTGGAGTGATTAGAAAACAATCAAAATTTATGAAATGAAAAAACTGACAAGAGAATGGTCATATTAATTGCTAAATTTTCTACAGTAAATTATGATCTATATCTGACATTATATGTAAAAAAAAGTACCGTTTGTCGTTCATACTTTCAAGTCCATTATTTGTTAGTGGATATCTTAAAGCAACATATTCTCAAACCAACATTTTAATTTATCCCCGTTTTTTTTGAAATATTCTTTAAAAGCATGTAATTGTTTATCACTCTACTTACAATACCCAAACATTTTATGTATAAGAGAATAATAATTGTATAATACAGGAGCAACTTGCGGTTGAATAACACATAATAGAAATTTCTTGTATGAAGTATACCGATATGTATCATTTTGTTTATGGTTGTTTTACTATTTGCGTACTGACGTGTAAATATGAAGAAGC